TCATATCATGTTTATATGTGCATATATATATATATATATATATATATATATATGCGTGTAAATACATATTATCGAGCGGTTTTCTATTTACGTGGCCTACCAAGAATTCACGTGATAAAAGCGTCGTTTAACTGTGTACAAATACATGCACATATTACCATATAATATTAATATCAAAAGAGACATGTACTGGTAAACCAGGAAACGTAAAAGCTTTGCCTTCCTTACCGAGTCTATATACGCAATCGTTACGCAAATCTCAAAGCATCCTCGAGAAAGAAACGCGAGCGTGGTTGGTTGACCATTGGTATGCAACTCGCGAGAACGCAAACTCGTGAGGCAATACCGCTTTTAAGTATTAGCTAGGCATTTGTTCGGATTTTATACATGGATGTACGTATGTATGTATACATATACATATATATGTATATATATATATTATACTATATATATCTAACGATAAGGATCGTTCAACGACGGTTTACTTTCCTATGAAATCGAGCGTGGCGGCCGAAGTCAACTGGAATCAGAATCACCTTGGCCCGCTTGAAAAGTTTTTCCTTCAATTTAATTTATAATACATTCGTGTAATCCCATATGAATTAAATACTACGATAGAAACTACATTAATACGATACGATTTTTCTACGATAAGAGAAATAATCATTTTAAATAATAAACATTTCATAAATCGTAAGAATGATCGTTGTCTTACGATCTTAGTATCGTTTAACTTACGTATATAAGTTTATGAAGCTTCATTCTTATTCGGATCGTCGGATAGAAAATAAATATAAAAAAAATATCATCCTATTTATCTTCCTGTGAATGGAAGCGGAGCGTCATGCGAATTAATCGACGATCTATCGTAATGTCCTCGCTCCATAGTACGAAAGGACGAAATAAAAACATTCTCGACGATGTTATTTAGAGATAAGTCGTCCAATAAGATTCCGAATGAAATGTATTCCACTTGGAGGCCATTGTACGAGTCTCAAGCAGAAGGAGGACGACTACGACGACGAGGGTCAAAGACAAAGCTTTAAAAAGAAACAAGCCGTCGAGTGAAGGAAATAAGAAAGGTGCTCTTAAGCTCTATGCGTATATATATCCTACGTATTTCGTGATGTCTTTATGTACTACGTCATAATGTATACCACTAAACCACTCTTTCGTGCGTTTAAGATCTATTCAGAAATTAGTTAAAACTTACACGACTTATTTCTACTACTACTACTACTACTACTACTATTATAACAACAATAACAACGACTGTTTCTCGTTATTACGTCTCGTCTCGTTTCGTTTCAAAGATTTGTTTATCAAAGGAATGTGTATATATTATAAGAAATGTAATTTTAAAAGACCTAAAAATAATACATCCTGCGTACGTTGTATACTTTAAAGAATCACAGAGATCTTTCGGAGAATATCTTTCCGCCTTGTTTGTCGCATAGAAATGTTTACATTACAAAAGTCGCTACTCCCTCCTTCTCCCTATTTCTTTCTCTTTTAACGAATAGAAATTCTTATAACTGAGTTTAACACACGATGAAAACAGCACTTTGCTGTTTTATCTTACAAAGAAAAATTTCAATTATTCTGTTCTATATAATATATGTACACATATATATATGCCTTTCATAGTCTCGTTTTTAAAAGTCTCTTCAAAGCTTGGTGCATTTGTTTCTTTATAAATAATAAGATATTACATCGGTACACAAAATGTTTGTATTTTTAAATAAAAACAAATACAAAATATAATATACAATTCCAAAAAAGTGATGAACTTGCATCAGCATTTGTAAATACGGAATTACATGGAAATATGGTAATTCAATCATTTCATTCTATTCTTTTTTTTTATAGCTTGAATTTTCCAATTGATAAAGTGCGCAAGTAATTTAATTAAAAAAAAAAAAAAAAAAAAATGAGAAAGAGCCATTCAAAAATTTTATTTCAAATGTAAATATTTTGTTTCTTACGATATATGCAGTTTTGTATCAAACAATGGTCTCAAAAAAAAAAAAAAAAGAAGAAAAAGAAAAGAAAAGAAAAAGAAAAAAAGAATGAAATGTTCCGCAGACACAGTTGCATGTAAAAAGAAAAAATGTTTTTCTTGTAAAAATAATTCTTTTCATGGATGGTAACAAAACGCGATTGAAATGATTTTTCGCTTTCTGTGAGATTTAAATCTTTATCTTGTTTATTCAATTGCTGATAATGATGACTTACGACGACGAGGCCATCAAAATGTTAAAACTCAATCAATGTAAACATATCGATTATAAATAGAATTGTAGATTACATTTATACATATAACATCTTATCTATAAATATATATGTATATAAAATAAAAAATAAATAAAATAAAAAAAAAAATAAAAAAATATTATCCAATAAAATCACACATATTCTGCTCATTCTCTGCCAACACTTTTATACGGAAAAAAATCTATTACAAAGAGATCATAAAAAATCTTATTGGCAAGCCCTGTACTGACGCGTTAGTACCAACGAAACGATCCTCCTTGTTGCTTCATGTTACAACGCGAAGAAATGATATTCGCCATCAATACGATCGAATTCGTCGTGTCAGATAAAGCACGTAATATCGAACCAGTTACGAGTCTTTAGGTCGATCGAATGTCATGACCCGTCTGATGATAAATCTTTTTAACGCGATAAAAGGAACACGAAAGAGACGAGAGAAAATTCTATTTCTCCTTTCCCTATATACTAGATTACTAGAAAATAATATATTGAGAAATAATATGTCAAGAAAAAAAAAAAATAAATAAATAAAAGAGGAAATAAAAATGTACGATCGATCGATTATGCGAGGGAGCATGTAAACATGTTTATCGCTTATGATCTATTATGAAAAAGAAAAAAGAAAAACGTCGACTCGTTTTCGCTCATTCACCAATGATAAAATTTGCGAGAGTTATTATAATCGTATAGTTGTTGAATTACGATGATAAACGAGAGAGAGAGAGAGAGAGAGAGAGAGAGAGAGAAACAAATATTTCACTCGTTTTATTTCAACAGTGATAACTTTTTAGGCTCAATGAATATTTGCAATCAATATATATCTGAATACTGTACTCGAATTCGTCGTGACTGATACTTCGATCGTCAATCAATTTTACGAATTATAGATAGCTTGTCAACCGATAAAAAATTATTTGTCACTATTAACGAATTGATATAAACAAATGATACTCTCTACAAGGCATGGTGATACGAAGTAAAATAAAATAAATAGAAAAGAGAAAAAGAATATTAAACACAATAACTATAAAACAAATGAAGAAGAAACAAAAAAGAAAGAAGAAGAAAAAGAGAAGAAACGCATTAATCGAAAGTATACGAGCAAGACAGAGAACGTTTAACCTAATATAAAGATATATTAGATGTAGGACGTCAGATAAATCTGTGTGCGTTAGAATCGTTGCCGGCTGAACGACGACTCCCCTTATATTTTTCTTCATAATACTAAGTAATAATCTCGGAGACGATTACGTAATAACCAATTCATCTAAACCTTAACGCATCACTGCGCTACGATGAACGTTACTAAAAAAACGAAAGAAAAAAAGAACGACAATTAAGTTGGTATGTACTTCGTTAAAACTTCTATCTCTCTCTCTATATATATATATATATATATATATATATATATATATATATATATATACAAACACATGTACACGTGTTAAACTTCAATCATAAAAAAAAATATAAAAAAAAAATATATATATATATAAAAAAAATAGAAAGAAAAAAAGAAAGATAAAAAATGCGTTCGAATTAACGAGTTTCAAGTGATAAGTTATATTCGTGAACACGTTTCGCGACGAAAGAAAGAGACTGATCCTATGGTAAAAACTATCTTGATTGCGCTATTTAACACCACGAGAAATCTTCCGGCGAAGAGAAAAAAGAAGGGAGGACCAAAAAAAAAAAAAAAAAAATAAAAAAGAAAGAAAGGAAGAAAATGAAGAAGGAAAGAAAGAGAGAGAGAGAGAGAGAGAGAGAGAAAACGACGGATAAAATATTACAGAGGGGCTGTTCTTGAAAGAAAGAAATGTAGCTAATTACTTTGAATATACTCCCGCGCAGCCGCCATTATAGTCTCTCTACAAGGAGCTACTACCTTGGCATGCACCACCGAGGCAACTCGATACATCATTTTAGACTCGGAACTATCATATGTTCCGGGAAATTACGTCGTTACTGCGAAACTTCCCAGATTCTCTGTTATGCCGAAAGAAAGCTGCAAAGGCAGAAGAAGCGCGGAAACGATGTTCAGAGAAGAACTTTAGTGCTATTCCTTACCACGAACAATCTCTATCGCACACCCATAATGTTAATTTACTGTCCACCATTAACGGATCGATAGCTCAGAAAAGCGTATAACGGTTTAATCTAAAACTCCAAGTTTTTATCCTTTCATGAAGGAACACTTTGCTGGATCAACGCGAACCAACGTTCGAAATAAATATATCTATACTAAAAATCGCTCGTTAAATGTGATAAAGTACTTACGATTTAATTTATTGAGATTCTATCGTCGATATACCTTTTTTACTTTATATTCATATATATATATATACATAATGTATATTTATAAATTACGTAACTAATATATCACCCTTTGAAACTATTTGATCGAAGAGAGAACATTCTGGCCTTGATTATTAAAAATAACTCAATGTTCGATTTAAACTAATCCCGGTACGCATTTTAATTCCCGACAATGTTTTAACATAATAAAAAGTCATTCATTGGCAATAGAATAATCCCGACGGCCTTCAAAGTCGTGGCCTTGTCTACGTATGTTTGTTCTCTTTAAAGGAAAATCGGTAGCAAGTTTCAGTGCTGAAAGAGAAATAGAGATTAAAAAAAAAAAAAAAAGAAAAACAAGAAAAAAAAGAAGAAGGAAAAAGAAGAAAAGAAAGAGAAAAGAAGGAAGGAAAAAATGAAGAAAAACTAACCTGTCCGTGATTGTCGAAGCCGTGTTTCTCGGCGATCTCGGCTGCAGCTTCTACTCCTTCCGGTACATGGACCGCGAACTGATTCGAGTAGATGGGCACGGGCCGTGCACGAGGACGGGCTTCTGCTTCTGACTTTATCGGTGCACCGACCAGCAGGAAGCACACCAAGGTCACTCTGACGATCATCTCGTCGTCGTTACCGTCGACGAGCGAGGACTAACCGCGCGACACGCCGACGACAAGGACAATTACGAGCGTTACACGACTCGTCGACTAGTGGGAGAAAGAGAGAGAGAGAGAGAGACAGACAGACAGACAGACAGAGAGACAGAGAGAGAGAGAGAGTGCGAGAGAGAGAGAACTCGATTTCCTCCCACTCCGTATCTATCTGTCTCTATCCCTATCTCTCTCTCTCTCTCCTTTACCACTCTATCTATCTCTGTCGCACCTCTTCGATTAATTTCTCCGTTAAATGCCAAGTAGTTTTCGACGCACGTACGATTATTATTGCGAGACGAAATTTTTATTTCTTTTTATTTTTATTATGCGACGACACCTCGACACCCCACTTTATTATTTTCTTTCTTCTTTTATCCTCTTCGTGGATTGAAATACGACGATAACGGCACGTAAAAGTCGAAGAACGATCCCGACGTATTTTTTGCGTATTAAGCGGACGAATTTGTTACTGGCGAGATTTGAATAACGTTGTTCCTCCTTGTAGTGGTGTTGGTTAGCTCCGCTTATCTGCAACACGAAACGAAGGAAAACCGCAGATTAGCGATGCGATCTGTTGGAAAACCACAGCATGGAGAAACCGCCAAGACAGGGTCGATCTTTGGATCAGTTTCTATAGCAATCTTCCTTCCGGTCGCTTAATTGTTTTGTTTTTTTTTTTTTTTTTTTTTTTAATTTCCGTATTATCGAGGCAAAAAATATGGATCAAATCGTCTCTCTATTATTCTAATATTTCATTCTTATTTTGTTTACATATATTCTTTCGCATATTCGAACAATAAAAGAAACATCACGTATATACATATTTCGTTGTTCACTATGTGAAGACAAAAAAGGAAAAAAAAATAAAAACCAATAAAAAAAATTAATAAAAATACTCTCCCTATCAAACGTTCCTCTTGGCAAGCTTGACGGCTCGTATAAATTGAGTTTTTCGACGTGTCGTTTGCGTGCTATTCCCAAAAATAGAAACGTTACGGGTGAGTATTAGTTTCGTACAACTTTTTCGAGAACGTTCGACGATATTAATTTAGTGGAAAAAGTGACCGTAACCGATGACGGTGAATTCGTCGAGGGATGGAAGTTTTGTGATCGGGAGACTCAATCCAGGCTGTCGATAAAATTCCTTGAATTTGCCAAATGCTATTCTGTCCTATCGTAAACCATAAACGAATCTCGCTCATAGATAATTAATAACCATATACAATGCATCCACGATGCTTCAACTATTCAATATATACAATAGGAACGCGCGAGCAAACGTTTGCTAATGAAATGTGTTAACAATTATCGGAGGCCTGTGTTGATCGTTAAGATTAAATTTTCAAATGTCCATTCTCCCATCTCTATATCTCCTTTCTCTCTTTCTCTCTCTCTCTCTCTCGCATAAGCCTCGATATACCGTTCAAGCTCAATCGCTAGCTCGTCACCAGTATTTCATAATATATTCTGTTCCCATTTTCTCTGTATTTACCAAACTGTTCTAGCGTAATTCGATGGCTTAGGCGTATGGTAATCTCTCTCATCTCATCATCAGTGATCTTCGATAGTTACAACGCTCGAAGGCTAATTAATAGCTTTCGATGTATAAATCATCGGTTTCGTGGTCGATGATCAGGCCATATAAATGTGTGTATATATATATATATATATATATATATATATATATGTATATATATATATGTGAAAACAAACGATAAGCTCGCTAGTTTAGAGATCGTGGCAAAGCGCAGCGGCTTAACGCACTCGTACTTTCGACGATCGGGGCATCTGGGGTAAACAGAAGCAAAGTTTAGTCGGAGGGAACCAGCCAGATAGATACATAGATCGATAGATAGATAGATAGAGAGATAGAGAAAGAGAGAGAGAGAGGGAAAGAGAGGAAGGAGGGCTTAATGCACTCATCGAAACTCGGGGAAAGCTTCAAACGAGACGTACAAACGTATGTTGTATATATGTATACAGTTTACGAACGTAAGCTCGAGATGATCCAGTTTCGATCGAGTGCGACTACATACGAGATGCAATACGTATTCCTCAAAGTTTCACGATTTGCGTGGATTCGTGTCGGAGATAAAGAGGCAGCTAAATTAACGCGCAGATGTCATTGACGATAATGAATTACATTGGGATAGTAACCGAGAGCAAATTCAAGAACAAATATCGCCTTCCTCTCGAAACCCATGATATATATATATATATATATATATATATATATATATATATATATTAAAATTGAATTAATTTTCATGTAAATATTTTATTTGAATTTTTTTAATTACATGCCAAACGGAATAATATTAAATAAGTTCGAACATGTCGAGAGCTCTTACCATTGATGGTTCATCATTGTCGTTCGATGAGCATGAGGATAAAGCATATCGATTCCACTAATAGAACATTCCAATCAATTCTATAAACGCTCACCATCATTTTTCAATACGTTTTTATCGATTAATACGTATTGAAAATACGTAGATCGACTTTCATTGGTAACGATTTATCGTTATTTCTCATGAAAAGTTATTACACATTGAATCCCACGTAAATAAAGAGACCATCGAGTTAGTTTTGAAACTTTACGAAACACCATTGTTAATTTTCTTTGTAACATATAATGATCGCATGATTAAAAATATTCGTGAAAATTCGATATTAACATGATCATTTTAATACTATTGAGAAAATAATTGGACGAATCTTGTTTATTGTTTATTTATCATAGTAAAAAGAATAATTTTGTTAACTACGTTGGGAAGTAGATCTCTACCAAACAATATTCGATCTGATGCGATAAATTTTAACGGCATATAGTGATCCCCGAGTGAAAGGAGGTCAATGGCTGGAGCAAAACAGGCAAAAGGCCGGTCGAGGCGAGTACGTAGATATGTACGTATGTATATATGTACATATATGTACGTATGTATGTATGTATGTATGTATGTATGTATGTATGTATGTATGTACGTCGACGAGTACCTATCTCGAATTGGTCGAAACTTTCTCGCGAAATCGGCGTAACGCAAAGCACTGTACGATTGTACGCGCCAGTAACAAACTCGACAAATTTGAAAACTCAATTGTAAAAGCGAACACCGAAAATGTGTTCGATCTCAACAAATTTTTTTCCATTCCGTTACGTAATCGAACACGAACATAAATCGGAGGCTAGATGAAAGGTAGAAGTCAATATAATTATCTAAGTATATGTCTTTGATACACCATAAATATACTCACGATATACGTAAATATATATATATATATATATATATATATATATATGTACATATGTATGTATATTCGAAGTAAATGTATAAGCATCGAAGTCACGACTATAAATTGATATTTTGAAAGAAAGAGAAAAAAGCAAACTAAATCTTTTCAGGACCGAGGATTCCCTCCAAGGATTTCGTTAGCGTATATTTTAAGAGAGAAGGGGAAGTAGTAGAGAAGAAGAAGAGAAACGATTTGAGACGTTGAAGTCAAGCGAACGTCATCGTTTGACTTCAAACGTTGGAAACGAAATATTAGATTCCAGATATCACGCTTAAAGTATTGAAATCCGAAACCTCTAAGGAATCGAGAATTTCCGCGCGTGTATCAACGAATGTCGTTTACGTTGCACTAGTTGGAGATAAGCGAGTATGTGAAAGAGGTTCTAACAAGTTGATAAATCGTTCGCCGGCTCATTAATTAAATTGACGTAACGATAAAATAAATACTTTCTATCGTCTCTAAATATTCCCAGTATGTCAAGGATACAACCTCCAAAAGAAATATAATCGAATTTTTTATATAAGGAAAAGAAACAAGAAAGGAAAAAAAAGAAGAAGAAGAAATCAAATATTCTTTCATTCGATTTTTATCTAGGGAAAGAATAATGAACCATTAAATATCATTATCAATCGATAAGCTCAACGCTCGATCGTTTTTACTTATTGCAAGGGAAAAAGTTGAAAAAGTCCAAGCTACTTAATTAAACGGTTTTGAGTGGCTTACTCGAGTAGTTATTAAGTTCGATGATCAAGAGCATCAAAGAAAGGGAGAGCATACGATACGGAGAAAGAACGAGAGAGAGAGAGAGAGAGAGAGAGAGAGAGAGAGAGAGAGAGAAACAGAGACAGAGAAAATAAGAGAAGGAGAAGCAGAGAGGGATTAAGCTGGCGTAAGCGCTACACAGCATTATTCAATAGACACTCTTTCTGCTAATAGACTAGTATCTTACACTTGATATTGATGACGTCAAGATGGCTAGAGGTTATTTTTAGTTAGGCGTTATGCGAATCACTAGTAATTTCGTAGCTGTCGTATTAGGAAACGCGAGATAGAGATAAAAAGAGAGAGAGAGAGAGAGAGAGAGAGAGAAGATGATAAAAAGGAATTGCACAGTGTTTCCATGTGCAAAAAGTTTGAGTAACCGTCCTCGACTCTGAATTGTGCGAATTTCCGTTTTAATGTATAAAACATTAACAAGAGAGTGAGAGTGAGTGTGTGAGAGAGAGAGAGGGGGGGGGAGAGAGAGAGAGAGAGAGTGAGTGAATAAACTCTTGTCGTACCTCACGAAACGAAACGAGTAGTATATAGTCGAGTAAAACGCTATCTACCATTTACAGTGACACGTGGACCATGAGAATTTCTGTCACGTGCCATCCAACTCGCAATAACCATACGGTCGGTCGGTCGGTCGGGCGGACAGACGGGCGCACCTACCGAAATTATGAAACCTCCAGGCGACGACGGCGCGTCGACGAAATTAGCATAACAAATTCGAGACCATTAGATGATTCGTAAAGAAATTTTTAGGATTACCCCAGGCCATAATATTATAACGAGTAAATAAAAAGGGAAAAGGAGAAAGAGAAAAAGAGGTTTTAATAGATTATCACATAGATATTAAACTCGTTTGACTATCGAAAGGGAAATCATCAATGAGATAGCGTTAACACTTGGTAAAAGTGGAAAGCTTTTGCTTTACTTTCCACTTACCTTCAGTTAACCATTTCGTTTTCCCCTCGACGCTCGGCTATTAACTAATTAATTATAACGCATATCGCGGCTATTATTCCGACAAAGTTTTCCTAATTAAGATTATTAATTAAAGAAGAGCAGAGGAAAATCTCTGGAATCTTTTGTAATCGGCTTTTTGTCTAGGTC